GTAGTATTTGTTGTTGTTAAGTGTCATCCACTTGGTTTGACTTATAGTAACCCTTTATAGGGTTTCCAAGGTACAACTGGTGAGTTAAAACTGCTGATTTTGCAGGTCAAACTGACTTTATGGTCCAGTGCTTATCCACAGTGTCACATTTTTTTAGTGAGTATTAAATAGATCTTAAATATTGATTATAGAATATGGATTTAAACTTTAATAAGTAAATCAATGCAAGTTGTTCCTTACCACATTCTAGTTGAAGGCCAATCTGGGAAGGGCACCACTTTGGACCTATTTAAGAAAAATAATTATATTCAAATTTCCAGAGAAGTGAAAACATATTTCACAAATCTACTAATGTCCATTGTAACACAGATTACATGTTAATAAGTCAAAAAATAGGCTACAAGTTTTGAAATATATGTAATTGTTACCTGTGACATTGAATTTTTAGGGGGCTTAGACATTGGTGGGATGAGGATTAGAGAAGAGTTTCAGGGATACTGTTAATTTCCTGTTTCTTGATCTTTACTGGCTATATATGCATAATAAGTATGTGACTTACAACTCATTATTCAATGAAAATCTTATAAATGCACATCCAAGACAAAAAACAACAACAAAAAAAAACCTTTGATCTCATTTGAATTTTTCTTTAACATACTCAGCATTTCTTAAGCTGGGGGAATTGAAGAAAAATTCAAGCCTCGACTTTCATAATTGAAGCACTCTCTGGGAAAATTATTGAAAGACACAGAAAGAATCAAAAGAAGATGGAAGGAATACACAGAGCCACTGCACCAAAAGGAAATAGTCAATATTTAACTATTCCAAGAGGTAACATATGATCAAGAGCCAAGATACTGAAGGAAGAAGTCCAAGGTGCATTGAAGGAATTGGCAAAGAACAAGGCAAAAGGAATTGATGGAATAAAAACTGAAATGTTTCAAGAAAGTGAGACAGCACAGAAGGCACTCAATCATCTCTGCCAAGAAATTTGGAAGACAGCTATCTGGCTGACTGTTTAGAAGAGATCTGTATTTGTGCCCATTTCAAAGAAAGATGACCCAACGGAATGCGAAAATCATTGGACAATATCTTTGAAATCTCATGCGAGAAGCGTTTTACTAAAGGTATTACACAAATGGCTAAAAACACACATTAACAGAGAACTTCCAGAGGTTCAAGCCAGATTCAGAAAAGGACGTGAAATGAGGGATATCATTGTTGATATCCAATGGATCTTGACTGAAAGCAGAGAATACCAGAAAGATGGTTACCTGTGCTTTATTGATTATGCAAAGCCTTTCAATTGTGTGGATCATGACAAACTATATACAATAACATTGAGAAGCACGAGTATTCTGGAACACTTAACTGTGCTCATGAGGAATCCATAACTGGACCAAGAAGCAGTTGTTCGAGCTGTACATGGGAACACTGAGTGTTTTAAAATTAAGAAAGGTGTGTGACAAGGTTGTGTTCTTTCACCATACTGATTCAACCTGCATGCTGAGCAAATAATCCAAGAAGCTGGGTTCTATGAAGAAAAACATGGCATCAAGATTGGAAGAAGACTCATTAACAACCTGCAATATGCAGATGATACAACCTTGCTTGCTGAAAGTGAAAAGGACTTAAAACATTTACTGATGAAGATCAAAGAGCACAGCCTTCGGTATGTATGGATTACATCTCAATGTCAAGAAAACAAAAATCTTCACCACTGGACCAATAAGCAACATTCTTATTGATGGAGAAAAGATTGAAGTTGTCCAGGTCTTCATTCTTCTTGGATCTTCTATCGACACTCACAGAAGCAGCAGTCAAAAAATCAAACGACCTATTGCAATAGGCAAATTTGCTGCACAAGTCCTTTTTAAAGTTTTGAAGAGCAAAAATGTCACCTTGAAGACTAAGGTGCACCTGACCCAAGCCATGGTATTTTCAATAACCTCATACATATGCAAAAGCTGGACAGTGAATAAGGAAGACCATAGAAGAATTGATGCCTTTTAGTTATGGTGTTGGAGGAGAATATTGAAAGTGCCATGGGCTGCCAAAAAAACCCAACAGATCTGTTTTGGAAAAAGTGCAGCCAGAGTGCTCCTTAGAGGCCAAGATGACCAAACTTCATCTCTCATACTTTGGACGTATTGTCAGGAGGGACCAGTCTCTCAAGAAGGATATTTTGTTTGAAATTGGAGGGTCAGAGAAAAAGATGAAGACCCTCAACAAGATGGATTGGCCAAGTGGCAGCATCAATGGACTCAAGAGTGGCAACAGTAGTGAGGTTGGCCCAGGATCGGGCAGTGTTTCGTTCTGCTGTGCGTAAGGTCACTATGGGTTGATAACAACTTGATTCTCACTTCCTTATTCAAAATTTATTACATGGTTACCATGATCAAAACAACCTGGTATGGGTACAATGGATGATCAATAGATCAAAGGAACAGAATTGAGAATACAGAAATTAAACCATCCATATACAGCCAACTGAACTTTGACAAAGGGCCAAAGTACATATTGAATGGGGAGAAGATAGTGCAGGCAAATCTGGAAATCAGTATACAACTGATTGCAACAAAACCTTTATCTCACACGATATACAAAAACATGGATTAAATACCTAAATATGAATACCAAAATTATAAAGGTCGTCAATGAAAAAAATAGGGACAAGTTTGAGGGCTCTAATACAAAGCACACATAGACTATCAAACATTGCTAGAAATGCACAAACAAAAGGCAAAATAGATTATTGGGACATACTAAAATTTAGAAACTTATGCACATCAGAAGATTTCACAAATAAAAAAAAAAAGGGAGCCCACAGAATGTGAAAAAACTATCTTGCAATTACTTATCAGTATAGGGAAAAATCTTAAAATCTATAGGAAACAACAACACTCTACAAGATAAAGAAAATTAACCCAGTTAAAATACAGGCATGGGACATGAACAGACACTTCACTGAAATAGATATTTGGGAAGTAAACAAAACTTTGAAGAAATGTTCCTGATCATTAGCCATTAGAGAGATGTAAAACAACAGCAAAGTTCTAAAAAGCAGAGGGCAATAAATGCTGATCAGGATGTGACCCTCTTATATTGCTAGTGGGAATGTAAAATGTTTAAACCACTCTGGAAAACAGAATGTGCTACCTCAGAAAGTAAGATATAGAAATAACTTTTGATCCAGAAACCCTTCTTCTTGGTATATATCCAAAAGAAATATGAGCCAGAACAAGACTAGATGTATGTACATCAATGTTAATCACAGCACTATTTACAAAACCAAAAAGTGGAGCCAGCCTAATTACCCATCAATGAAAGAATGGATAAACAAACTTTGGTACATACACACAATGGTATATTATGTTATCTTGAAGTGTAACAATGAAGCTACAAACCACCACATAACAAGAATGAACCTTGATGACATTGAGTGAAATTGTTGTTGTTAGGAACCAACGAGTTGGTACCTACTCAAAGTGACACTATGTACAACAGAACAAAACAATGTCCAATTTTGGGCAAACCTCACAATTGTTGTCACACCTGAACCCATTGATATTGCCACTTTGCCAATCCGTCTTGCTGGGGGTCTTCCTCTCCTTCTATAACCTGCAACCATACCAAACATGATATCCTTTACCAGCAACTGGTCTATCCTGATAATATGTCCAAAATATGAGAGACAATGTTTGACCACCCTGGCCTCCAAGGAGCACTCTGGCTGCACTTCTTCCAACACAGATCTGTTTCTTCTTTTGGCATCCCATGGAACTGTCAATATTCTCCAACAACACCATAACTCAAAACCATCAATTCTTCTAGGTTTTCCTTATTCACTGTTCAGCTTTCCCATGCATATGAGGTTATTGAAAGCACCATAGGTTGGGAAAGGTGCACCTTAGTCCTCAAACTGACATCTTTGCACTTCAAGGCTTTAAAACGATCTTGTGTCGCAGATTTGCCTAATGCAATATTTAGTTTGACTTCTTGACTGTTGCTTCCCTGAGTGTTGATAGTTGATCCAAGAAGAATGAAGCCTTCCATGTGGGTTGCACATCAATGTAAAGAAAACAAAAATCCTCACCACTGGATCAATAAACAACACCCATAGAAATGGGGAAAATATTGGAACTGTCAAGGACTTCATTTTCCTTTGATCAACTATCAACACTCATGGGAGAAAAACAGTTAAGAAATCAAAAGACAGTTTGCATTAGGCAAATCTGCTGTACAAGTCCTTCTTAAAGTGTCGAAGAGCAAAGATGTCAGCTTGAGGACTAAGGTGCACCTGACCCAAGCCATGGTATTTTCAATAACCTCATACATATGCAAAAGCTGGACAGTGAATAAGGAAGACCATAGAAAAATTAATGCATTTAAGTTATGGGGTTAAAGGAAAATGTTGAAAATAACATGGATTACCAGAAAAACAAACAGATCTGTATCTGAAGAAGCAAAGTCAGAGTGCTCTTTAAAAGCTAGGATGACCAAACTACATCTTCCATACTTCAAACATATTATCAGAAGGTACCAGTCACTGGAGAAGGATATCATATTTGGAGGGTCAGAGAAAAAGAGGAAAACCCCCAATGAGATGGAATAGTACCAGCAATGGGCTCAGGTATAGCAATGATTGTGAGGATAGCCCAGGACTGGCAGTGTTTCATTCTGTTGTGCACAGGGTCGTTATGAACTGTTATCCACTCAGTGACACTTAACAACAACAACAACAGCAACAGCAAAAACAGCATATCATAATTGAGTCTTAATGATATTCTTTGCATAAAAATATCCAAAGGAAAAGTATAACATTAACTGCCATAGTTTTGACACTCAATAATTAAATAAAGAGTGTGATTCTCAACGTCCATATGCTTTTTGTCTTACTAAAAGTAATGTTATTAATAATTATTGTTGTTGTTGTTAGGTGCCATCTCTGGTGTTGCTGCTATACTGGAAAAGTTCCCGCAACCCACTTGTGCTCTTCTCCCTTGATGCTCCTAGGTCCTTTGTTTCTGGACTATAAGATTACCTTGTTCTTGTTGTTGTTAAGTGCCATCGAGTCGGTACTGA